TCGAATATTCGTTTAACAGCACGGAAGGCACGGCGTTTTGTATCTTTGGTGCCGTGATCTCTTGAAAATTTTGTAGACTAACCTGGCTAGCAGATTCTAAAAGGAAATTAGAAGTGCCCTACTCACTTTATTATGGTGATTAGCGTTTTGCCAGCAAAGTCTCGCAAGGCCCAATGATTATCTGATTCAGGACGAGTGCACAGTACTCGACCGAGCATGCAGCTCATCAGAGACGGAAGAAATTCGTGAAGCTGCAGATAATTTTTTGAGTTGAAGAAATTGAAAGACTTGTTCAACTCACAACACCGTCGAGCTTCACAGCTTTGTTTACAGCAACTGCGCGCATCATTCGGACAACATAGATAAGCATGGAAAGACATCGATGGACAACATTGCAACGTATCTGAAATGCATTTTCACGTGAAAGACATCATCTATGCATATTATAATCAGAGCGGCAGTGAGAATGAAAATTTTTATACGGGATATGGGGCTCCCGCAAGGACATAACCCATGCGCATGTAATGCTCACAATATCAAACAGTTGAATGTGGGATAAAAAAGGAAATAATTAACTACGGGAAGTCCACCCAGTACAACCCACTCAAAATTCTATAAGGTCCTATCAGACATCTTCAATCACATAAAAAAGCCATGCTATCTCAAGATTACGATGAAAACAGACACAAACATGCAGATAACATGAGAAGATCATACTTACGGAAGTGTAGATGAGGCGTGACAGTCGCGGAAGCAACACTTGTATCCCAGTGTCCCTTTCTAGAGATTGCAACGCCTGTTGGCGCTTCCTGTCATCTTGTCCAACACAAGCTTCGACAATCTCTTTGAGGTAGACTTGCTGCTCCTGTAAGCGGAAAATGTTGAAGCTGTTTGTCGCTCCGAAATTTTGCAATTTTTTTTTGAAATAAAGTGGCCTCAACGGATAAATTTCCAATCGTAGCAATTTTGACTATTCGACTCTAGAAAAGCTTATAGCTCGGCTTCAGAGGTGCACAGCCAGAGGAAAGAAGTTAAAGTCAGCAAATCTCCCAGAATTGTACAGATCTCAGCAAGAACACTACTTACAAGCCAAAAATTAATTCAGAGTTATGAATTGAAAAAAAGCAAAAAAGTAAAGAAGCCATTGATGAATAAGCAGAATAATGATATTAACATGTAAAATACCAAAATTGACGTAAGGAAACTAAAATTAGCAAATTGAATAAGACAACTTACCACTGAAAGTGGTTCAACAAAAGATGGCTTGATGAGAATCTGCTCCTTTTTGGGGACGCCTTGCGCAGCCAGACGATATGAGATCGATGGAGCGGCAGTTTCGCTTGGAACTTGAATCCTAGAACGCAATTTGATTTAGCTCTTATAAATGCACTGAACAGACTTACTTTTTCCTCAATGCAGCTGGGATATCATTGGAGAACATTTCACTTCCTTGTAGGATTTTCTTAGCTTTCTTCTCTGGCGGAGGTTCTTCCTCACTATCTACGCGTATCCAATGCACTAAACGTTTGCACATAAGCGGTTACCTTGAGTCAATAGATAGAAGTAAACACCAATAATAAATTGAAAGAAGTATAGATAGCAAAGTCAAAAAGAATTCACATAAAAAGATATAAAAGGAACGACAAAATCTCACCACGGATATGCCGTTTGACGGGTACCTTCACCTGTGGAGGTTGTGTAAGGGCTGGGACGTCCAAATCTGCATCTTCCCTAATACAGAGCTGCTCTCCGCCCGGCATTCGTAATTGACGAAGAGACGGCAAAGAGCGTGTTAAGGCACCGATTGGCATCTAAATAAATACAGAAACCTAATGTACAACAAAAACCAAGTTCCTCTCTACCTGCAATCCATAGGATCGAAGCGCTAATTCAAAGTCTTCAACTCTAGCCGTTCTTCTTCGGCCATGCACTGCAAGTTGACGTGCAAGCATTGAACATCGAATAAGGGATTGTGTTAGCTGAAAAAAACAACAACAATGGAA